ATTATTTATTGGTTTTTGCTGTTGTACCTGTGTTACATAAATTAACTTAAACCAAATAGGCGTTAATAGACCTTCCAGATATCAACCAACCAGCCCAAAGTAATAAAAGAGCACATGGCTGGCCACTTGGGTATGCCATAAAGCAAATGTAAGTGACAGTTGGCAGCAGCGGAGCACCAAGTTGTCACGCTGTTGGCGTTGTGTTGACAGTAAATAGCCGCATCTAAAACGTGCAACAATTGCGTCGCGCATTTTGTCACATATGCATACTAACTTTGCATTATTCATATGAGCTTAAGTAAAAATATAATTTACTACAATATAATATGTAAATACGTATATAATAATTATCGATTAGTTTACACCTCAAAAATCAACGAACATAGAACTTTGTGTTAAGGGTTTATTTGTGAATTTCAAAAAATCGGTTTTTTGTGCTTATTTATCGGATGTTGTTCATATATTTGAGAATATCCTCCGAAAAGTTAAGGTTGTTATGGCAAATAGTTTCGGAGATATGAATGTATTTGTAAGAATTTTTTAGCTTAGTGTAATCAGCTCCCATTACTTCAATAAAAGATTTTCTCTCAAAATACTATTTTCAGAGTCGGTGATTAAAATTTCTTTGAAACAGCTGAACCGGTCTACTTGAAATCCGCACCAAATTTGTAGCATTTATGAAGTTTCCAAGTTTTATATTATTTATTTAATGTTTATTCGTCTTCCTTTTAATTGACACGGCAGATTGTTGCGGATTTACCGAAATCAAAAGTCATCGGAAGAATTGTGCTTGTCGGTAGTTCTTCCTGAAGTCATCCAAAAACCAGCCTTCTTAAATATTTTTCTCAATATGTATTATGGGGCATTCTTATGCATTTAAAAATCGGGTTCTTCAAGTGTAAATATAGTATTTTATATATATTGATTATCAGGATAATAAGCTTGGCTTGCATTATACACAGTGAGCATTGTTTAAAAACCTAATGAATAATTGCTTTCTCTAGCAGTTAACTTTGCGTCAGCTGATTGAATTGTCAAAATTTGACATCTTAATATGACATTAAAGATTTCGAGCTTAGTCATATCATTATTTTCGACATTCGCTTCGAATAAAAAGTCTTTACTTGTCAGTGACTTTCCCAGGATTATCCCTGCACTAACTCCTTCAACGACTATTTGTAATGGTTTTGAGTTTTTGCTAAGCACTCACTCTCCTCACAGTATTGCCGACGTTAACCAACTCACATGTTTTCCTCAGACACTTGTGCGTCTTTTTTCTTGCTTCCTTAGCATAGACTTGTTTCGTAAACTTGCTCAAGGTCAATTGAATAATGTTCTGTCAATTTTAATTTTTTATACATTTTTTTTTTATGGTGATGGCATGCTGTTCTACACATACTACCACACTTTGCTACAATTCACCAATTCCAGAGTCGCATTGTTTTCCTGTGCATGTGGCAACTAATGGAAAGGGGAAACAATCGGATATTCAATTTTGCGCGCACTCACAACGCTCAAAAAAAAATAAATTGTGGACAGCACACGAAACGCAAAAACAAAAATGAGAATAGTGCCCAAACGTAAGTAGCGCGCGTTCCTTTTTGAGACTGACCGCTACTAAGCGCTATGTGCTGCCGCCACACAAATAAGTAAAGGCAGCCGCTTGTATGGCACCAAGCTCAGTGCGTTATGTGCGCGCATTGTTTTTGTTGTGGTTTATGATTATTATATTTGTATATGCTACGGCAAGCGGCATGCTTGCTGCACGCTTTTATATTTGATAGCAAATTGATATTATATTAATCAAATTTATTTTGTACTTATTTCTCGTCTATATTTCGCTTGATCGACAGTGGAGTTAAAATAGTTATTTTTGAATTTCTGCTGTTGTTCAATCATTCTCCTCCAATCGCGGTGGAAGGTGGGTGGCGGTGGCGCGCTTGTCTGACTGTCGCGCAAGCGCTCTTTAAGGAGTTGCGCCGACTGTACGACGGCCTCACCGTTTCAATAGATTGCCATAGTCGTCATCAGTGTCGCTAAGCGCGCCCTCCATAACAGGTAGCTACGTTCCGTACGTTGGCAGCGCATAGCAATATTCATACGTCAGCGCTTGCGTATGCCCACAATGGGTGGATAATGGCTGGCGACGGTGAGCACGCTAAGCTCTGGTGGTGGTGCCTGATGAGCCTAGTGAAATTGTGTGTGAGCGACTGTCGTTGTTTGTGATTTCTAGCGTATGCCTTCGCGCTGAAGGTTTTGACTGACGCCTGTGTCCGCCAGCCAGTGCCCATCGCATTCTCGTGCGCGCCAGTCCGTTTTGACGTGGCTTTCAGCGTTTTCAGCTCCAAATTCCAAACAGGAATGTCACACTAACTACGCCTGAACGCGCTGTCCACCCGCTAAACAAAAACGACGCATTGATTTGCGTATTTCGTCTACCTGCCAAAGACAACAACAACAACAATAAAACCAATAATAACGACAAAAACATTGCTCCTCTATATTAAATACGCGTCAAATTAAGTTGACGCGTTGTCAATATCATTTGAATTTCTAGTGTTTGCTTGCTCGCCACTGCGTCTACTTTCTCGTTCGTCTAGTCAGAGTACTTAGTCAATCAAGCTGGCTAGCAAGCGACGGTCGGTAGTTAATAAATTATTAAGCAAACACTTGTGGCTTGTGGCTATTGCAAAAATTAAGATCGCTTAATGATCGCGCGCGCTTACTGCTTCTCGGCTATTTCGAGTAGATCATTCGAAAGTGTTATCAAAGTTTCAATTGTTGCATCTGCGTTACGTCCCAACGCTCTCCAAAAGATACTCCGCATTCAACAGTGGCGTAGCAATAAATAATTCTACTATCTCCAGCGATTATCTTACAAAGCTAAATTTAGAAAAATCTATATAGAAATGTCTATTAAGTGCTCGCCAAGTTAGATATTTAATTACGCTCTGTGAATTCGCAACTGCGCCACATTTGCATAGCTAATTATTGCCAGCTTACATGCGCGCGTTTAGCGCTCGTCAACCACACCCTGCCATCAGTTTGCAGCATTTCTTTATAAGCGCGCATGTGCATTCAGTGAATTATTTATAACAAAAATTAATAATGCAAATATTCACGTACTTAATTTGTAGTGTAAAATGTTTGTGCTGTAAATAAAAGTTGCGACTTCGATACGAATTCATCATTGGCGCTCTCTCTGAGCCGCTTTGTGAGTGCGCTATTTGTTGCATTCCGATGTTATGATGGGACCGATGGATGCGGTTTTGAGTTGTTTTTGCAGAATGTGTCAGTCACCATGTCGTAGGTGTGTGTATATGTGCTCATTTACTTGAAGTGTGTGTTTGCATTTATATAAGTTTGCCGCTAATTATTGGGTGTCACACATTGGGCGGAAGCGTGTTATTTTTTTTTTATTTATCGTTTCGAGTGTTCGCTGTGGCTATTTGTAGTCTAGCCAAAAATAGCGCTTAACAGCGACTGAGCGTGGTTTTGAAAATAATATCATGTGTGGCAAATTGTTGCCAATGTTATAAAAAAGCTTCGCGGGTGTTCGGTAAAATTAACGCAGACAGCGGTCAAACTTATTTTTTATTATGTAATATTTTTGAGATATTTTAAATATTTTTCGAGCAAGCGAAATCTGAATAAATTTGACCCGAACTGACTAGAAAAAACAACATATTCACACTTTGTATTTTAATACAAATGTTTATTAGCGCCTTCAAAATAGGCTCGTTTTCAGCCAATACAAGCATGCCAAGGTTTAATCCAATTTTACCTACAATTGCTATAAGCCTCGGCTGGAATGTCGTCAGTGCCTTTCGCGATTTTTTTATTTTAGTTATTTTCAGTTTCGGCTTCTCTTTGGAGCGCCATTCGCTAGATTGTTGCACAGTTTCGTCGTCATATTCATAAACCCACGTCTCGTCAGCAGTAATGATGCGTTGATGAATGTAGGCCTTTCAGCTACGTTGTCAAGCATCGCTTTTGCATCCCCCACTCGACGTCGTTTTAGCAAAAGTTTTGGTACGACTCCAGCATTGAAACGCTTCATACCAAAAACTTTAACCCAAATGGTTGAGTAGATCCATAAGAGATGTTAAGATCTTCTGCTATCTTTCTGACGCTGTTACCGTCATTAATAGAGCTGGATGGGCTCACATAAGAGAAGTTTTCGATGACTTCACGACCTCTATTGAACGCTTTAAGCCACTGAAATACTTGTGTTCGTGATTAAGTATACTCCCGAAAACACTTTCAACGATTCGGTAGCTGTGTTTCCAAGGAAAACACAAAATTTTAGGTAAACTAAATTTAAACATAGTGATTTTTCGAAATTGCCTTTGGTCGGATAAATTCTGGCTCAATTCCGTTGAGTGACTGCGATGACAGTTAATTTTGTGCTTTCCTATAAACAGGTTATTGTATTGCGCTACAATAACAACTTTTCTTTACAAGCGGTTTTTAAAATTTTGACTAGATTTTGAAAAGTATTGGGTCGGTTAACATAAACTTTTATCAACACTCCGAAAATTTCACTGATTTTATTTTGTTGCATGTTTTCTGATACATGGCAACTCTGTCCAAAAATATATGGAAATAAAATAATATACTCATTATGACTAGTGTTGTATTTTGTATAACTTTCATGAAGTCGTTCTTGAGCTTTATATTTGCAATACAATCTACTATTTTGAGTTTTAATATTTTTTTATAGTTGGCAACTCAATTTCTGAAAGATTTACATTTGATTAAATCTTTTTTTTTTACTCAGTGTTATTCTCTAAGGATCATTTATTTTTCGGACAAATAAAATTTAGGCATATATATATATATATATATATAATATATATCTCGAAAAACAGCTCTCAATATAAGTAAATATATATATATATTTATATATATTACATTACGTTAATCTTATGAGCTTACTCCTTTTTCCAACATTTTTGCAGCAATCTCATTTTCACGAATCGTTGTTTTTTCATTTACAGCTCTCAACCGCCGCCCAATTTGACAGTATTATCCCGACAACAACAGCAACAACATCAACTCTATCACACACAATCAGCTGCAGCGGCAGCGGCCGCAGCCAATTCCGCCTTCTATGCCCCCGCTTCGGGTGTCGGCGCCGTTGACACAAGCGAATTGATGATACGCCTACGTGAATCGATCAAGCAAAAAGAGGAATTCCTTAAATCACCGCTGCCACACACGCACGCCACGCTGCACAGCGTACCCGCTGTGAGCCACACCGCCCAACAGCATTTCTTCCCGCCGCACACACCACCGTCGGGCAGCCCGCAATTGTCTATGGTGTCGACGACATCGACATCAGCCGGTTCATCAGTGCTGAGCAGCATAGGTGGCGGCGGCGGCGGACCGCGTGGTCAGGTGCGTACACTCGTTAAACAACCACTCTCGGCGACATCCTCATCGGCGTCTAGCACGCGTGAGCTGTTGCCCGCCAACGTCAGTGCAATTGAAATGCATCAATACTACGGCAGTGTAAGCAGCACCGGTAGTGCTGGTAAAAACCACGTTGCGACCACTAGTGGTGGTGTTGGCAGCGTCGGTGGCAATTATATTAGCATGGAGAGTGCTATGAGTCGTGGCAGTGCGTTTAACGCGGCGACAAGTGTGAGTGTGAGCGCTGCTGGCGTAAGAGCTGCCGGCGTTGAAACGGCGCCCTTGCGACGTGCATCTGGCAATGGCAGCGCAAGCAGCCGTGTGAGCAACAACAATGGCATGGGTGATAAATATGTAAAGGATTTGGATTATTTGGAAACGTTGCAGGAGACTGGAGTCACCAATAAAGTGTAAGTTGTCTTGGCGTAAGCCTTTCTTCAAACTATATCTCGTGCTTTTTCAAACAAATTATTTTATTTATTATATTTTCCTATACATTTATTTCGTTCCAGTTTTGAACGCAAACTCGTCTCTCATCTCGCCAAAGGCTTTGATCCCTTCCAACCGCTCTCCATCAACACAAACGCCTGCGTTGAGCCTAGCGCCAGCGCAGCAGCTAGCAATGTGATGCTGATAAAGAAACCTACAGTGCTCTACGAATCGCTGCAACATCATCCGTTGCATCAGCTACAGGTACAACAACTGCAGCAAACACAGCAAGCGCAAACATCACACGCGCCAATGCAATTGTCAAAGTTGCAACAGCATCAGCTGCAACAACAACAACAGCATGCCAGCGGCAGTGTTGTGGACGGTGCTCAGTATAGTCGCATGGAGATCCACAAGGCCAGTTTGGCTACGACTACCATCGATCATGCGCCGTCAAATAGTGAGTTATATACATAATTTATTTTTATTTTTTTGTTTTTGTTTGGTACGAGGTCTGTAATACCCAGTAGGAAAAGTCGATTACCCTATTAACTATATATACATATATAAAGGATCAGCGTGACGAGCTGAGTCGATTCACCTATGTCCGTCTGTCTGTATATACCCGAACTAGTCCCTGAGTTTTTGAGATATCAATCTGAAATTTTGCACATATAGGACCTCTATAGCATATATCTGCCATACAATCAAAAGCATGTCCTTGTGTAGGAAACTTTTTTATTTGTCAAGGTATCTTCACGAAATTTGTCAGAGATTATTATAATATAAGATATTTTCACGAAATTCGGCATGGATTATTGTCCAAGGCAAAGCTACAATCTCCGAACATAACATATAGCTGAAAGACATAAGACCGATCAAAATCAAGATTCCCATTTATGCTATAAAATGCTGTTTTTTAAATTTTTTTGGTTTTTTTTTTTACTTTTGGAAAAGTGAGACTCAATCTTATAATTAGAGTATTGACTAGCGCTCTACAGTGGACGTGAAAAAAATCTCTAAGAGCAGTTTCAGTCTTCAATGTATGAACATTGAGATTCTCTCTCCAAAATCTCTTACATGGATAACTGCAGTATAATTGCAAGAGAAGCTCTTTATTTAACCCCAATCGCTGGATTTAACTTCAATTAGCTTATAAAGTAATCAATTATTATCATAGTAATGCAATAATATAACTGATTCATTAGCAATTGAACCTGCCTAATAAGTCTCATTTTAGTTTCTTTTATCGCTTGACTTCTGTTTACTTGCACAAATAGTGCACTCTTTTGTCTTTATATCGAAACTCGTTTGCCTCGTTGTAAAATAGAAGAAAAACTGCTTAGTACCTGCAAATACATATATATAAATTTTTTTTGCTCTTTTTTCACCGTATTTTCGCAGAATACACTGGCAAATTACCGGAAGCTCTTGGATCAACAACAACAACAGTTGCGGTGGCTGAACCGAAACCGACACTCACTGATATCGCCGAAAGCAACGAGGTGGTGTCAGCAAGCAGCCAAGGTAAGTAGCTCGCTCTCGCGCTCACAACACTTTTGTTTATACTCGTACATAAAGCGTTGTTGAATGCGTTGGAAAACCAGCTGCATGCAATCGAACTCACTTCCGTTTTGTTGCTGTTTTTCCACTCTTCTATTTATATTTCTATTTCGATTTGACCACATCACATCATCTTTGTTATCTTACTCCATAAAAACAGTGGCTACAACGACTGGCACTTCCTCCGATGGCAGCGGTGCTGCTGTGGTGCGTCGCTTTAAGCCGATGTCCTCGTTTGACGATAGCAAACCGATGCGTCGCATTTCATATCTACGCGCCACTAATAATGAAACCGATTACTCAACCTCGGACACATCCACTACATCGTTGACTGGCTTGAATAACAGTGTTGTTGGCATTGGTGCACCGCCACTGATTGAGGTGACATCAAAACAATCGTCACTCGATGATGATGATGTTGACGATGACGATCCTACATATGACGTGGTGGCCTGCGATGAACGCGTACAAATACAAACCCCAACCGAATTGATGGCGGCCACGGCGCAGGAGCAGTTGGAGCAGCAGCAACAGCATTTGAAAGATAGAGCGAGTGTCACTGCAGAGGCGGCTATTGTGGCGGCAGTGACGGCCGCAGGTGTTGGTGGCGGTGCTGCGGCGGCTTTAAGTGAAAGTAGACGCGAATCGGTGAATAGTGAAATACGAAATAGGTGTGTATAGACCACGAGTGTACTTGTGACGGTGTTGGTAGATATGCACTGTGTGCCGTATGTTTTGTGATTGATTTACTAATTACTTAACGCGTGAGAATACATACACGTATAGATAGGCATATATGTTTATATGTATATTTGTAGGTATATGCATAGATATATATTTAATAAATCAAAAAAATACGTGCCATTTAACGTTTTATTTTATCACTCATTTGCAGCGTTCACATTGACGATGTAATCGCAGACATAAATGGCAAATTGGAGACAAAGGATGTGGCTACCGAAATGGAAGTGTTCGAAACTGAAATGGAGATTAAGTCGTCGTGCATCAATGGAAAGGTGTGTATGGAATTTAAATGTGAAATGCTTTCTTTTATTGCCAATAAAAATACTTAACGCCTATATTAATAATATTTATAATTTATTACTTTGTTTTATATTTTACAAATTAAATTTGAGTATAAATTGTAAAAAATATAAAATCAATTTAATTTACAAATATTCCATCTGATCAAATTTGACCCGGACTGGTCGATATAAGCTGTCCGCACAAACCGAAACAAGTTTTTTCTAGATTGGTACAACTTTTTTTATGTTCGTGTGAAGTTTGATCTCTATACGTCTATTAGTGTGTGTTTGGGAGCTGTTTTTTTACGACGCGAAGAAATTTTCGGCCGATTTTTACCATGAAAAAAAAAAACAATAACAAATTAACTTTGGATGCATCGAATACCCTTAACAGGTTTAAATCTTCTTTACAAGGACTTGATTTTGATCGATCAGTTAGTATGACAGTTATATGCTATGGTTGTTCGATCTAAACAATTTCTTCGGAGATTGTAACGTGGCCTTGGACAATAATCTATGCCAAATTTCGTGAAGATACCTTGTCAAAGAAAAAAGTTTTCTATACAAGAACTTGATTTTAGTTAATCTGTTTGTATGGCAGCTATATGCTACAGAGGTTCGATATCGGTGGCTCCGACAAATCAACAACTTCTTCTGGAAAAAAGGATGTGTGAACAAGTTCAGTTCGATATTTCAAAATCTGATGACAAATTCGCATATATACAGGCAGACGGCATTCAGTGAAGGTCGTGAAGCCATCGAAACCTTATCTCATGCGAGTCATCGAAAAAGTTAAAAAAAAACAGTGCTTCAAAATCGTCGTGCTGGTGTCGGAGAGATAGCAGAGGATCTCAACATTTCTTATCGATCCACTGAACACATTTTGGGTATGTTGTGGGTATGAAGCGTCTCAATGCTAGACTCGTACCAAAAGATCTGAATATTTTGCAAAAACGACGTCGAGTAGAGATCGCAAAAGAGACGATGAGGAGACGTGGGCGTATGAATATGACGTGGAAACTGTTTGACAATCTAGTACAATAAATGCCGCTCTAAAAGTGCTCCATAAATGTTCCGAAAAAGTACTCGGAAACCAGAAATCAGAATACGGTGAAGGCACTGAAGACCATCCCAGCCTAAACTTATAACAAGTGTATGGAAAATTGGATTAAGCATTGGCATGCTTGTATTGGCTCATAAGCCTAGTTTGAGGACAATAATACAGATTTGTATTAAATATGTAAACATTTAGTTTTGTTTTGTCAGTCCGTCAAATTTGAGCAGATGTACTGTGCTTTATTAAATGTATTCAATATTTTACTATTTTTTATTGACTTGCTCTAGTTTTTTTATCGATTACTCTTTTTAAATTTTGTTTTACTAACTAACTATTACTATAACTTATTCACCAAAATATGAATTTAAAAAAAAATGACCTCCAATATTCGTTGTAGCGTCTATCGGATTATCGGTCTTGGCGCCAAGTGAAAATCGAAATCAAAGGCGATATTTTACGCATCTATCCCGGTCGTAGTTGTAAGGAGAGCAATGTAAGTCAAAACAATACTGATTTAATTATTCAAATAACTAATGCACCAAATTTCTACCCTCAGATGATAGAACTCGATATTAGAAATTTTAAAATCTTCGATGAATCAGTCGATAAAAAGAAATCCTACATGTTTCGCATGCAATCGAAACCAACGCAAATCGCAACTTTGGGCAATGAGTTGAATCTGGATGATGTGCCTGACAAGTTGACGTCGTCGGGCAGTAGTGCTTCGACCACAGCGTCACATGTGGAGCCACAACATCACCAGCCCCACCAACAACCCACAGAAATATTATTTAAAACGAAAAGCATGACGGAAATGAAACGCATTTTCGGTTTATTGCAATGGAAGAATAGTTTAATTTATGATGATAGTGTAAGTAATACACTTTATTTTTACTAATATATTAATATTTATATTTTATTTTACTATCTTTGTGGTATTTAAAATTTTCCATTCAACTCTACAGGATCTTCAAGGCAGGCAATTGGCTGAGCCGCAGAAAACCGCGGCTATCTCTAGCATGCCAACAGCAACATACTGTGATGATAACGTACAACACCAACAATTACAACCAGAATATTCACCATTAAGCACAATATCACGCGGTGGCGATACAGAGATCATATCCGACTCTATCTCGCCAGTGATGAAAACGCGCAAATCATCTTCACACAAAAATATACCCGATAAAGATTTAGGTTCACCAAAAGCCAAAAATTGGAAAGATTTACTTTTTAGACGTGGCGGCGGTAGTAGTAGCCACAATGCGGACATTTCGCCGTCAAGCCTAGCTTCTGGTGGCAAGACGACAGGTTCCATTGGTGTGCCCTTAAAATCATGTCCGATGGTGAGTGTGTACTTTTAGCCGACTTCTAATAAAATTGTATTATTATACATGTTTTTCAACTTCTAGTCCAAGAGCAACGAATATGTGCCGCTGTTAGTGGATGTCTGTACAAATATTGTCGAAACGAAGGGTCTCGGTATTGTAGGTATTTACCGTATACCCGGCAACAAGGCTGCCATATCAGAGCTATCGGAACAGGTAAATAAATCCGACTTTTCATGGGATCGCTGCAACACGGACGTCAGGTGGGAGGACGTGAATGTGGTTTCGAGTCTGCTAAAGCAATACATACGCAATCTGCCCGATGCTTTGCTACCATGTTCCTTCTATATAAATTTCATTGAAGCTGATAAGAAGACGGGATTAGAACGTATAAAGGAGCTTAAAGAGTTGCTTAACACGCTACCGCGTTACTCCTATGAGACGTTAAAACATTTGATACGACATCTGAGTCGTGTTAGCAAAAATTGTGAAGTGAATTTAATGGAGCCGAAAAATTTGGCGATAATTTTCGGGCCTTCGATAATACGCACACCAAACGATACATTGGAGATTGCTGTGAAGGATATGAAACATCAGTGCCGCATAGTTGAGTTACTCGTGACGCAGGTGAGTAAAATACGAATCCATTTCAACTACTATTATTGTAATCCAGATCTTAGAACAACAATTCAAAGGTTGACGAATAAATATAAATATTCCAACTGTAATTATAAATATTACTCATACGATAATACTTGGAATCCAGACAGTTGAAGGAGTACCGTCATTCGGTACTCTGAAATACATGAAATTACATAGTAATATTCAGACTACTGTAATCAAAATCGTATTTTATGTAATTACGACTACTGTTATTGTAGTTTTGTTTTTTATGTAAATAACACAGTAATTGTATTTAAAAAGTTTATGATTACTGTAAGCATAATTACACTTTCATTTATAATGACGACTGCAGAGAGATTAAAACAGCAATTACTGTAATCATAGAAAGTACAATTACTGTAATCATAGAACATACAAATACTGTAATCATAGAAAATACAATTACTGTAATCATAGAAAGTACAATTACTGTAATGATAGAAAGTGCGATTACCGTAATCATAGAAATTGCGATAACTGTAATCATAATAAGTACGATTACTGTATTATAAAGACCGTTACTGTATCCATTGTGATTAAAAATACAGGAATCTTTTAATACGTGTTATCAATTTGCAGTAACATCAAGTAATCACAATTTATTCCTGCTTCTTAATACCCAACACATACTATTATTTAATTTCTTTTGCTTATAATTTAAAAAAACCAATTGAATTAGGTAATGATTTCACAAGATTCCGATTACTGTAATCTTATTTACCTTGTAAGTATAATTACAGAAATTTTAATCACGATATTCAATTAATTACGAATACAAAAGTCGTAAGATAACGTTTACAGAAACCGTAATATTTTAGCATTCACGGTATTTTCAAGTAATCACAATGTAATCGTACTACTAAATGCCCAATTAAGAATTTTATTTTACATATAGTTTTAAAAACTATTTTAATAGTGCAACGATTTCACATGATTAAGACTACTGTATTCATACCATTACTGTAATTGTAATCGTAAAAAATATAATTACAGTATTTTAATCACTTAACAACAATTAAAAATACCGATTACAGAAGCCATAATCTTTTCGCAATCATAGTAATCTGAAGTAATCAGAATGTACTTGTATTGCAAACTCAAAATAATTGTTTGCTCTAATTTTAAAAATGAATTACGTAATGTAATAATTTCTTATTAATTTTTATTCAATTTCACAGTATGACTACTTTTTCGAGAATGGTCCCTTGCCCGATCTAGCTGACGTTACAGGCAACACGCCCATTGCGTCCACCTCCAGCTGCGCCTCCGGTGCACTACACACCCAAGAGGATCAGACGAATATGTTACTGCACAATGTATCGAAAATTGAACGACTAACCGAGCGAGAGTCGTCATCCACAACACGCACATCCCGTTTCATTCCACAACTGCGACGGCGTACACATAGTAAGCGTGGCGCTGTCAGCTCGGATACCTACTCGGGCGAAAGTGTGTTGGTAAGCGAAATTCAAAATCTGAATCAGAGTCACAATGCATATATGAGTTCGAATAACAAAAACAAAAACAAACATAAACGCAAATCATTGCAATCATCCATCAACCTCAATCAAACCATTACTAAACTCATTTCCGCACCACACAACATGCACAACGCCCTACTTAAGTACAACATAACCAGCACCAATTCCAACACCAACAACAACACTACTACACAATCCACACCCAATATATGCGTGGCAGCAGCCACAACGTCCACTAAGCCTTTAAAGCAATGCGCATCGGCCAGTCGCCAACAGCAGCTGCAGCAGCCGCCACTGCAGCAAATGCAAAAGCAGCAGCTGCAGCAGCAGCGGCGCCGCAAAGCCGTGCCCACAATTTATGATATTGGGCTAACATTGCGTGTACAATTTCAGTCATTGGATTCCACCAAATCCGCTACCACAGCGATGACAACAAGCAGCAGCTCCACCAATGCCACCACAGCGTCGTCGAGTAGCGGTAGTGGCGGCAGCAGCAGCGTAACATCCACGACTCAAAAGACGAAAAAGGAGCGTAACTTCCTAATCAATCACAGCGGTGGCGGGTTTGTGCGTCTGCACCATCGAAAAGCCAGTCTGGATGAGAAGGACTCGGGCAGCTGTAGCGGCTCGGGCAGTGGCAGCGGCGGCAGCATGAGCAAAGAGCAGCAACGCAGCAGTGTCGATATATCGGTGCTGCTCACCGATGATGAGTCGAGCAATAGTCGCAGTGATACGGGTGAGTAGCGCGAGGATTTGGAAAATTTTTGTGTATATTTTAATTTTGACCCGGTTTGACAAATAATTAAAAAATGTTTGTGCCTTCACATAGGTTCCATGTCTCTGACCACCATCACCGATACACTAGACTCGAAATTGCGCAACTTGCGTAGCGGTTCCGAATCGAATGATGAGAATGGCTCGCCCGAGTTCCGGAAAAATCGACGACACACGCTCGGCCAGCCACTGCATTTGCATTCTGAAAACATTCCCTATGCCGATGAATCGCCGGAGCGTCATTTTCATTCCTGCCCATTGGACGCACCGAATGTACTGATGCTAAGTCGATCCTGTACAGCCACCAACACTATCGTCTCGGCCAAAGCGAATGAGAGCAAAGAGCAGCGTGTGGCAGCGGTTCTCTCTGCATACAAAAACAACAAACTACAACATTCGGCTACCGTGCCCATTAATCCCGGTTCGACAACAACAATTGTGGGCAGCGGCAGTACACCCTCGTCGGCGGCATCAACGCCAACTGCTATATTAACGGTAAAAACGACAAATACACAAGGTGGTATCGGCGCTAATGTGGGCGGTAACGGCAGCGGTGGCAACTTGGCACGTAATTCCTATTTAGGGCGTGGCACACGCTTTAACAAACAAGTATATGAGCAACAGTGTTGCTCGGACGATGACTCAGAGGGTTCGACGACAAGCGATCCGAAAGATTCGCTCATCATAGCATCGCCGCCGTTTTTTCTAGATCGTTACAATAAAAAGCGACGCGATCATCGACTCTTCCGCTCCGCTTCGTTCAATTGCCGCAACTATTCATCATCGTCGGGCAGACACAGCAGCAGCGGTGGTCATCACACCACCGGCGGCTCAGCCTCAGCATTGACTAAGGATGAAAAGACTGATATGAATTTAACGAAGAAGCGACAGATACAAAACAAACAGAATCGTTCTATAAAGCGACGACACACCGTTGGTGGACCGCACGACTATGTCGGACCCAATGGCTGTCCGCCGGCGAATACCAACAATTGCAATCATCATCACACCTGCAAGGTGACGACTGGTGCGGGTGGCACTACAACAACCACCACCACTGTGTTGCGACGCATTCCTATACCAAGCGCTAATGGCAACATCAGCAACAACAACAACAATATCAATACAAATCTAACACAAGACGGCAACAACGGCAATGGTGGCGGTGGCAGCGGCAACGGTGGCGGTAACGCCGGCAATGGCATAGGCGGCGACAATGCCGGCAGCGCAACAGTGGCCATGGCCAGTGGTGCGGGCGGCGAGCACGTGCTGGAAGTGGGCATACGCATAAAGAATATCAACAGAAGTCGGTATTAGACACGTAAAAGCGAATGAGTTAGCTGTAACGTAACAACGTCGAACAGTGCAGTAAGCAGCGCAATTGCAAAAACAGTTGCAAACAAAAGATAAACAAGAAAAAACACCAATTAGTTATTAAGTTCACAAATATAAAAAAAAAGTCAGCAGCGTTCATTTAAATGTGTGTGTAAAAAATAAGAATTCTAGTATTAGCAAGAAAACAGTTATAATTAAAAAAAAAAAAAACAATGAGAGCAAAAAAGAAAAAGCGCAAAACTACAATGAAGAAAGTGCTGAGGATATTTATGCTGTGTGTCACGAGTATATAGTATTGCTTAAGAAATTCCTGCATGCATCCATAATTGTACAAATAGGATTTAGAATCAACTACTCGAAAACATCAAGAGTTTGAAGAGTAAAAAGGTAAACTTTGTAAAATTTTTATTTTGTATTTTTGGCTATATTTTGACTTTAGTAAAGTAGTCTGTTATAAATTAGTAAATTTATGTAAATTAAATATTATTTTATAACGACTTTTATTATTGAATTGAAGTAGTCTAGTGTAGCATGTGAAATTTTTTTAAAACTATGTGAGATTATTAAACAAAAGTAGTGTATACAAATTCGTATTTCAAAAGCATGATTTTTTTATTATTAAGAATTTACTTGATTTTATATTTGAAAACTCGCTGGAGTAGATTAGAGTGATCAAATTAGAAAAGAAGTAAAACTGATACCTAAAAGTGCATTGTTGCAGATTTATGATTTGAGACAAATTAACATTTTATAAAAATTTTGGAAAAAACCAATTTTATAAATATTTTGAAAAACCAAATTTTGATTTGAAATTTAAACAAAAAGATAAAAATTATCCGCTAATACACCCTCGCCATCATAGCATGAATATCCTTAATGCAAAAAAATTAAAAATTATTAAACAAATACATATACATATTATATATAATATTAAATGTAAACGCACTTATAAAGATACAACACCTCCCAACGCCTACACACAAGCCAAGCAACTTTAGTGGTAAAATTACAAATTAAAAACCAAAAAGAAAATACTACAAAAAATATTTATTTATAGCAATATAAATAAGACATCAAAATTGCATGAACGGATGAAGATTGTCAGTTGGAAAAGTATTTTTGGATCGAAATTGTAATGTGACAAAACTGTTTTTTGTAGTAATTTTAGTTTTTGAAAAATAATTCTGAATAGGCAAAATATAGATAGAGTCTGTTTTTTTTTTTGTTTTTAGTTTAATCAGAAGTCGTGTTATTTTAAAAAATATTATGAGAAGAGCGTCAGAGCTGATACTCTTTGGCCATATATAAATTAAAGTCCGCTGCGGTTACGTACATCCAACTATTGTTGTTGTTTGTATACCTTGAACATGGTATATTAAGTACGTGTATGTACAATATACAAAGGATTAGCATGATGAGCTGCGCCGATTTAGCCGTCCGTCTGTTTACACGTGAACTAGTCTCTCAGTTTAAGAGATATCGATCTGAAATTTCGCAGACGTTTTTTTCTTCTGCTCATTTGTCGGTGCTCATTTGTCGGTGCCACCGCTAGCGGACTACTATAGCTTATAGCTGCCATACAAACTGACAAATCAAAATGCAGTTGTTGCATGGAAAATTTTTGTATTTGAAGAGATATGGCATAGAATATTGTCCAAGTCAACGGTATAAACTGCGAAGAAATTATTCCAATCGGACTGCTATAGCTTATAGCTGCCATACAAATTAAAGTTCTTGCATGTAATCTTTTGTATTTGTGAATGGTATTATAGCTTCGGTGCAACCAAAGTTAACGTTTTTTCTTGTTAGACAGGTTCGCTTTCGCTTATATTACCCACACAAAATCAGCAATCCAAATATTCATCTACAAAGCCTTTCTAACAAGTAATAAAATTGAAAGCACTTTGGCGCTTTGACATACAGTTATTTTGCATCCAATCGTTTTTGTCGCATTACAGTTAGATTCCAAAGAGAGAAAAGTATGTAGACCCTACAAATATACAATACATACATATACATATATATATTTTCTGATATATTTTCTTGCAACCCAAAAAACAGAGTTCGTATGTCTAGCTAACGGGTGATAAAGTTGAAATTGTAGCAAAAAGCGAATACGCCGTGATTTATTGTTAATTATATTGTTTTGCTAATTTCCGGTGTTATTAAATTAAGTATTATGATTTTTGCGCATTTCACCTGACTTGTGTTGTTGTATTGTTTAATAAGTTTTCAATTAAAAAACATTGTTTTAACTAAATTAATTAAAATGCATTTTGTACATGATAAAAAACAAAATTAAAATTAATTTTCACACACACACACACACACATTAATTATGGAGAGTAAAGCGAAACCTACGCGTTTTGTAAATTTGCGCTCACTTTTATATGGAAAAATTTTAAATGATTTGTAAATGTACAGCGCTCGGCATAGTGGAAATGATTTTTTTGAAGTGGAAAATTTGTTGGTATTTGCTAGGAAAAAAATTGTATGTTTTCAAAAGAAAAAATCAAAGCATACATACATATTATACATGTATGCTGCGAAAAATATTGAAATGAATTAATTTAAATTATACATACGTTTAGAATAATACAAAAACCAACTATTTAATTGTTTTTATATATTATTATTATTATTATTATTATTATTAATTATTACTATTATTTTTATTATTTACGAACCCACGCTCCCCTGTACGTATGTATGTATGTGTATATGCATGTAACATAATTACTATTTATTCGATAATAATTATGTTTGTATTAAACTATTTGCATTGTATTGTAATTATACATAAATGATTATTTTGATGATTGATTTGATTAATATGCGATTAATTTTAATTTCTGTTATTTGCTTATAAATAATTACTTAAGTTATATTTACAAGCCAAAATTATGTTTGGTCAAAACAAAAAAAAATATACAACTATATATATATATATTGAAATATTTGTTGTTTAAATTATTATATTCGCTGATTTTTGAGGTTAGCTACGGTATAGGTTAGCAAGCGGTAAACGGCAGGTGCGCGCGTTAGTGTTAGTAGTATTTGAATTGTGAAAAAAATGTAATTGAAGAGAATTTATTTGCAAACATTTTGTGCCCCCATTTTTGGAAAGTTTGTATTGAAATGGCGTTACAAGCGCTAAAAGTAACACAGTAGAAATTGTATGTAGCTCGATTTATGATATATATACAAACACACACACAGAAATTATATTATATATGTATTTTATAAAAAGTATGTACATATATATACATGCACATATAAGTATATATATATATATACATATATATATTTACCTACCTATTTACCTATAAATGTATGGATTTATTTTTGTGTAATTACTTATACATATACAATTAAATGAAATGAAATAATAAAAGCGATAAACAAATAAAAATTAAAAATGAACCCACACGGAAGATTTTCCAACCAAATAACTGTAAAGTGTCGAAAAAATCATGAATTAAAATACAAAAAGCAGTAAATTCTCAAGTAATTTACATGAAGAAAGCCTGAGGGAAGTCTCACATACACACAAACATACACACACGCATCAATATTATCAAGAGTAAATAAACAGAAATTACAAATTTAGAAATGAAACAATCGAAAAGTATTTTCATTTAATATGTATGGCGGCTGGGTTTTGAGTTTTGCTTTGTGCTGATGATATGATATACCTTTTTTTGTTTGTTGTAATGAGTTGTAATATGGAGGAAAAGATTATGGTGTCAGTTGCTGAATGGAACGCATTTCTCTACAAACCAACAAAATAAATAAATGTGAGCTCTGCGGTATCCAGGTCTATATATCAGCAAAGAAAGATTACTTGCACGATAACGGAAGTTGTTTACTGCCTATTTCTTTTCACAAAGAAAAATGAAAAATAATAATGTAAAACTTTTTCTTATTTAAACAAATATGCTAACAATTAATTTTTTAAAGTGGAAGTGGAAGTTCTATCTAACTTGCACAAATATTTTAAAATATTGTTTTTTAAATTTTGAAAATTAACAAACAAATAATTGAAACAGAAGCGTAAATCTGTTTTATGCTTTAATGCAATTTTTTTTTATATTTTACTGTTAAAATTAATGCCCTTTTAATTTTTATTTCACTATAATTTGTTTTTTTTTTTTTATTGTTATATTAAAAACCGAAAAACTTAATTAAAAGTAACTTACAAATATCTGTAGCGGATTTTAAATAAAAGAATTCTAATGAAAAATACCGGATTGAAAGATTAAAAAAAATGTAATCCCAAATACTGAATTGGAAAATTCAAAAACAATTTTAATTGCAAGTTTATAATTTAAAATTAAAAAAAAACTATGTTTTTGAATTTATATTTTTTCGTGCTTGCCTACTATGTATTCTACCACTTTGAGCATTGAAAAATAATTGAATTATTATTTAAATTTTTATTTTTTTATTTTGTAATTGCAAATACAGAATTGAAAAACAAAATAAATTGTATTCACAATTACCGGTTTGGAAAATAAAAAAATGTCAATTTCAAGTTTATAATTAAAAATATAAAAAAAATTTTTGTAGATTTCAGTTTTTTTTTGTGCTTGCAGACTTCGTGTTCTACCATTTTGAACTAGAGCTAACACAGAGCCATCTTATTCAATACTGTAGAGCACTGGTCGGAAAACTTAAACATTCGAATGATTTATATTTTATCAATTTTTAATTTAAAAATTAAAAATATTAAAAAATCTAATTTTTTCGAGTTTTAATTAAAAATTAAATTTATTCAAAAGTTAGATTTACGAATTTTATATCCAATTTCGGGATTAAAAATTATGGTTTTGATCGAAAATTTTACTATCAAAAAACTCGCAACTGTGCAATTAATTAAGAATTTTTAATTTAATCATACTACCTAGATTATTTAAATTTTATTTAATTTAGATTTTGATTATATATTTTATTTTTTAATAATTAATTTTATTTTTTAATAATTTGCTTATTATCATCTTTTATTTATATTAATATATAATTAGATACTAAATAATCTTTTTTTATAGATTAATATTTTGAATCAAAGAATATTTTATTTATTATTTTGTTTATTATTATTTTTAAATAAAAAATTTTTTTTCCGTTATTTTTAATTAAATATTGGTTTAGTATTATTAAATAAATAAAATTAAATATATTAATTTTATTTAAATATAAATTATCAAAATCAAATTTAAATGTATTTTATTTTTTAAATTTATTTATTATAATTTTTTAATGTCTTATATATTTGTATTTTTTTATATTCAGTAGTAACAAATATTTTTTGCAATAATATTCCGTGCTTCATTTATATTATTTATCATAATTAAAAAAATAAATATACATATATATTATATATTAATTTTATTTCTGTTTTGTTAATTATATAATTTTTTTTATTTAATTCCATAACATTTTATTTTCTTTTAAAAAATATCACAAAACAGCTTCTTTCCTTATAGTTTCGCATGTGGTGCAGTCCCACTGATTTTATACACATATTGGTGCGCATTATCATAGTGTGGATTGCAGCCGGCACGCACGCGCTTTAACCATGCCTTAATTTTCGGATATTTTATACGCACGTCGTAGTCAGCCAAACCTAACATACAATGGAAAAAGGTAGGAATTTAAATTATAAAATTATATTATTTAAGCATACTAAACAAACTATTCAAAACTTAATTACATATATAATTTTGTGTTTAGAATAGTTCGAAAAACTACTCACGTGTCTGTTCTATTTCACACGCTGCAAAAATATCCGCCGCAGTCAATCGCTGTCCGGTGAGGAAATCTGTTTTTTGCAGCCACACATTTTCGATAATATCCAAATTGTCCTCCATAAGTTTAGTCAGGTTTTGGATTTTCTCATTTGACGGTCGTACACCGGTGATCAGTGGATCCAACCAAATCGTGCGAAAGTAAAGGGAGCAAGTCACGCGCAAAGTGATGTGGTGCCATTCGAGAAACTCATCAACACGCGCCTGCTCCACAAAATATTTGGGATATAGATGTTCGGGTATTTTGCCCTTTGCGCTGAGATATCTGCAATTTCGAAGTTATTTGAGTATTGCAACAAAAGAGAAGTTCCTTAGACGATTTCTACCAATATTTTATAGATTAGTGGTGTTAAAAAAAAACTAATTTGGAATTATAGAAACTCAGTTGCTTTTTGGCAATACAAATGATCATTTTTGAAGTCTCTTCGCTTATGTATCCGGAAAAATTTGTATGCTTGTTCTGCTAGAAATATAAAATTTGGTTCGATACGATGATTCTCTTCTCACCTAAGTATAGCAATACTTTCGGCCAATTTGTAGCCATCGTCGATAATGCAGGGCAGCCGCTGGAAACGATTGACATTTTGCTTAAACTCTTCAGTCAAGTGCTCACCTGCGCAAGTAGATAGATAAAAAATGTACAGATACAGTGAAAAAAATATCCTCAAACTTGGCAATGTATAAGTGAAAATATATGTATGTACATTTGCTGGTAAGAATTTGCTGAACAGTGTTGAGATAATTACAAAAACAAGAAAAAAAGTTAACTTCACTTGCACCGAAGCTATGATACCCTTTACAAATAAAAAAGTGTCCATAAAATGTCATTTTGATCGTTCAGTTTCTATGGCAGCTATATGCTATAGTAGTCTGATAACGACGGTCCCGACAAATGCACAGCTTCTTGGAGAGAAAAGGGACTAATTCGCATATATACAGAAATACAGATGGGCATGGCTAAATCGACTCAGCTCATCACGCCGATGATTTATATATACTTTATAGAGTCGGTATATAAAATATACCGAATTTGACGGTTTTTGACTCAAAATCAATTATCAAAAAATTTTTACGAAATAAAAATTTTAACTCGGAAATTTACTTTAAAACTAAGGTGTTAAACAATTTTTTTTTAGGCTAAAAATTTTCTTAAAAAATTTAAAATCTACAGATTTTTCACCCAGGCTAAGCCAAAGAAAAAAAATTTTCGTCCACGCTAATACTTAATCATTTGAAACCGAGCGCAATTGCAACTAAGGAAAGAATTTCAATATTAAAAGGAATGCCGAATTACATAGCAGCGAACTACATATTCTTTCTTTCTTAATACACCTAATATATGGACCAGCCTGGATCAAATTTGATCTTGAGTGTATTACGAAAAACACAATGTGTATTGCCCAAGCTCCAGCAACTCGATGCTCTTCGTCTTTCCTCCTTTACCCTTCGCTTACAAACTATGAGTTGCTGCTACAAAGGTCTTCGTGTGTGAACCGGAATTTATGACTCCATTTAAAGTGCGTTTGATAAGCAGTGATAGATAACTGAGTCCAAACGCAGCAAATATTGTGTTACGAACGAGTTCAATTCACTGTCCACTTACCTTTGCGCAGGGCTACCGGAAAATCTTGATATTGGACATTGCTAATTTTGAATATGATAAAGAGCGCACGCGACGGCTGCGACATAAAATCATAGTAGAAACGCAGTGACATTTTCACCTTTGGACCGCAACTATTTGACACTAAAAAGCAAACGAAAAGTACAAACAAATACGTATTAATGCGTTTTTTCCATACTTTTTTATTGTTTTTTATTGCACATTCAATAAATTACTACACTTTATGCGTAAGGCGTATCATTCGCCGTACGTACATTACAAAAACAAAGACTACACTTTACAAGCTCCCACGGCGAACACTCTTTTTCTTGTTACCAAACTCTTTGCCGTGCCGCGACCAACTGTCGTCATTGCAAAATTGTCTATGTGCCAAGCAATGGGGGCTCCATTGGCTTGCCGCTCTCTTTAGCTCACTTATGCTCATTTTTTGCGATCGAAAGTGAATATTTAATTATTTTATTGTTATCAGTTTTTTGTTTACATCTTTTGCAATGAGAGAAAAAACGCGCGCCGCTGTTGGGCGTTGGGACAAAGTGCGTTGGAATTTACATTTATATTGTATATATACATGCACGTATATTCGTTGATAAGTGTGGAAATGATCAACGGATATTACATTTTATCAGTGAAACTAGTTGATAATAACGCGGGATAAGGAAGTAGATCAATTAATTATTATATACAATAATATTATATAGAATTTATTACATTAACTTGATAGCGAACATTACAATATGTGATGGTAGTTACATATGTATATTTATAGTAACTATATGCATGAAAGATTGTTTTAAAATTTTTAATTCCCTTAATTAGTTATATCCAGTTGCAAAAAATGGGGTTTCTCGCGAATTTAAAAAAAAGAGGAATTTTATTTAATAAATATATATTAATAAAAATATTGAAAATTTACATAACTTAATGTAGTTTAATAATCGTAGACTCATTTTGAAAAATTTTGGACTCCCTTGATCCCGTAGCCGATCTCCAGAAGGACCTCCAAAAAAATATGTCTGGCTGGGAGGAAGATTTTTTTGCTAAAAATTATCTCAAATCCAAAAATATTTAAATTCAAAAGATGAATACAAGTAATGACTGGGACTAGCCAAAATTTTAATTTTTAACAAAACGTCAGCGACTTCAAAACTTCCAAAAAAAAAAAAAAAATAAAAAAATATTTTTTGTGAAGCAATTTACATTTAAACTTACTTGGCTTTAAAATCGAAGTTAATATCAAAAATCGTATCCCTTAAATCATTACCTGACCAAATATATCCAAGAAGGTCGTGTGAAAATTTCAATTGAATCGAGCAAGCCGTTTCCGAATGATTTGCTTCACCGACTCTGAAAACAGCTTTTCGAGAAATAGTTTTACAAATATGCTCATATCTCCGGATCAACGGTACATTCGCTCTATATGCAAAAAAAAATCGATTTTTTGAAATTCACAAGTGGATATAACTTATAAATCGAGTTTTTAAATTGAAAATATTATTTATGTTAAAATTTTCTTTTATTGAAATTGTCGCTCCAATAAAATATAGATTTGCTTTGAATAAGTGCTAAATATGATAGAGAGTTAGATTTTTCTTTAAAACAAAAAACAAAACTAGTGACAAGTACTGCAGTTAGAATTACTAGGTCCTAATACGTCCATAATAACATAATATTTTATTAAAACATATTATTTTTTTTTTATTAAAAAGTTATAAGGTCAACAGAGAAGAAATTGTTGCAAACAGTATTAATTATTTATTGCTTACATGATCTTGAGTCGGAGTGAAATATTTTGCACAGCCAATTCAACATGATATAGATTTATGTCAGTGTGAATATTGATCACATATATCTCGACTTCTTTTTTAACTTTAAAAAACCCATTTTCGAATATTTTTTTTACGAAATTTAATATTTTCCAGCTTTAAAAACCTTTTCACTCGTGTTCGTGCATTTGTGTTGCTACCAGAATTGTTTTCATAAACTAAAATTCGATTGCAGGAAACTAGTGATATTTATAGTCTAGCAGATTTGCAGAGAAAAAAACTAGGTTAAACAATTAGTTTATCAGTATTGACCAGCAGCTGAGTGAAGCTGATAACAGTAAGCTTACAATTAGCTCTCAATTCTGTTAAAAAATCAACATGTTTTTTGTTGTTTATTTCAAATGTTGTCACATCATTTAAAAAAGCCGATACATTAAAAAAAGCTGAGCATATGTTTTATCTTCAAAGTGTTATGAGCTTTGTAGATGTTTAAACTTTATTTCGTGGGCAGTATTGGATCATGAAAATACTGAAAAGTTTAAATTTTTTTAATATAAAAAATAGCTCAGAAATATATATCCATTTTCAAGACACTACGACCATAGCGATTCAGGCATGCACTCAACTCTCTAGCGAGACCATATCGCGACAGATAAAGAAAGCTGCAATCAGTGCAGTTGTTTGTGGACCTTCAGTGCAACCTTTTGCAAGACGTTCCTCAATACTGGCCATTTTAATCACTAACTTATTCATTACGCCTGGTGGTAATTCCACTGTAATAAATAATAAAATAATTTATCAATAATTGTTGAAATTCAAAATGTTATTAAAACTTACAACGCATAACAAATAAATGCAATTCTGTAAGAATATCACTCAATGCAAGACCGCGCACAGATTTTATCCGTTGAATTTCTAAAAAAAAAAAAAAAACAATTTAATTAAACAATTTAATCGAAACAAGCGTAAACTAATCATAAATTCACTAACCATCATAGGCTTGCTCAAAGCCCTCTGTGGACAATAACGTTTGTAACGTACGCTCTATATCACTGCGTAGTGGATGCCCAACACATGTGTATACATTGTCCTCATTAACAACATCGAATGCCATTGAAGTACTTTGGAGCACATTAAGCACTTTGCGCATATCACCTTTTGAGAGGGTCATAAGAGCTGTCTTGCCATCTTCAGTGACATTTAGTCTATAAATATATTATTACTATCATTAATATTATCACAATTAAAACATTTTGAAAATTGGCAGATAACAAGCACAAAAGCTAATAATTTTAACCACAGTTTACGAGTCTTCCGTGGCAGCTACTAAAATCATTTATAAATGTGCATTTTTGTCGTACCATATATTTTTAATCATTAGATTAATAACTTACTTTTCCTCTCCAATAATCTTATCCAGTCGTGGTAGTATTTGATCGGGAGAAAGCGGAGCAAAACGAAAACGCGTGCAACGTGACTGTAGCGCCGGTATAATTTTACTTAAATAGTTACAAATGACACAGAAACGCACATTTTCCGTATATTTCTCAATGATGCGACGCAATGCATTTTGTGCATCATTCGTCATAGCATCAGCCTCATCCAATATGATCAACTTGAAGGAGCCGCTGAAAATGGTGCGGGTTGAGGCAAAATTTAAAATTTGTCCACGCACAATTCCAATACCGCGATCATCTGAGGCATTCAACTCCAACACCATTGATTTGAATTGTGTTGGACTGTAGAGTTGTTTGGCACAGGCAAGAATGGTGCTCGTTTTGCCGGTACCAGGTGGGCCGTAGAATAGCAAATGTGGTAACTGTTTCTGCTCAATAAAGCGATTAACTAGCGATATTAAGGAAAAATTAACTATATGGAAATATGTGTAAATAAAGTAGTTTACTAACTTGTAGATATTATTTCCTCATGTGATATCAAGTCATCCAGCTTTGATGGCCGGTACTTCTCTACCCTGTAGCGAAAGTTCAACGCTTATTATCGTTTTCTGTTAAAATAATAACACTTACCATGGCATTCGACATTGCTTTTCAGCTTCCTCGCTCATTTTCTGTGTTTTTTTATAAAAACAAATATAAATCAAATTAAGCACAAATTGGCGCCGGTAGCCGTCAAATACAAGCAGCTGTTTTTGGCGTGCGTATGTTTTTGTTATTGTAGTCGCAAGGGTTGCATGTGAAGTTTGATGTTGCCATACATATGTCTAATATTTTATTTATAAATATTTTTTTAATGCTAATGTCGTGCCAGTTAAAAAATTATACAAAAATACATAATTCTGTTATAATAATAAATATATAATATATATAATAGATTGAGAGTCTTAAACCATGGATAATCTATGTCCTAAACGTTTATAAGCTTTAAGGGGTAAATATTCAATTATAAATATAAAAAAAAATTAAATTTTTTCTGGATATACAGCAATGAGTATAAAAAATCCGTCAAGTAGTTGTATCGCTTTAAGTTTGTATCAGAAAAAAAAGGGTTTGAAAGCGTCCAAAAGACGGCAGACGGCAAAGACAGGTTCATCTGACGGTTTTGCCTACTGGATCGCTTTTAATCCTCGTCAGATATTCAAAAGGACCGTAGTGATGCGATAGAAGTGATAGTATTTGCAACAACGATTCGTTGGAGATTCAGAGAGGAAGGATTCAACGGCTAACGTCCGGCAAAAAAACCCTTTTCGAGCCAACGAATGAGGAAACAGCGGTATGTATTGGCAAAAGAGCATGAACATTGGTTGGCGGATCAGTAGCAGACCTTAATTTTCTCGGATGAATCCAAGAATCCATTTCCATAAATTATGGCTGAAAAAGGTATAAAATAGTTGTGTGGCCTGGAAATAGCACCGATTCAAACCCGATCGAAAACCTGTGAGCGATTATAAAGAAACAGGTAGCTGCACAGAAGTCAAAGAACCAAAACGAACTGGATTCCGTACTTTTGAATTGGTATGAAGATACGGAAGGCCGATTACTGCAAAAGCTTATATCGTCAATGCCAGCAAGGATTAGGACGGTGATTAAGGCAAAAGGAGGCGCAACAAAGTATTGATTTCCCAATAGAGTAAAATTATGAAATAAAAACAAAACAATTCTTGTGATATTACTATTTTAATGAATTTCTGATCAATATGCAGACTATTCCTAATTGTAATAACTTGACCAAATTTGAAAAAAATTCTCCTGCAAAATTTAACATTAATATTTTTTCCCTAATAATTTATTTTATCGCTTATTACAAATGCAAACAATCTCTTATTTTCGCTTTTTTATTGGATGCATATTTTAGCTAAAATTAAAATTTTTCTACTGACCGCTTTTTATGACCCGTACTGTATATTTAATGTACATATGTACCTATACCCGACTTTGATCCAACACAGAGTATTGAAGATGTGAATTTATTGTATTTATAAGATTTTTTAATTAAATGTGGTCCAAAATTTTAAACAACCTTTTTCCGAAACACTGTTTTCAGAGTCGGTATGTCGGAAAATTTTTCTGCAACGGCTTGATCGATCGACACATGAATTTCTTCGATATATTTGTCTGGTAATCTGGTGGATCGAAGAAATAAA